CAGCAAAAAGATAGTCCCATACTTTATGGGGGATTCAAGGGGTTTTTCAAGGGTGATTTTTCTACTACATAGTGTAGAACTTAACCCCTTCCTTAAGATGTGACTCTACTGTACTGGCCATGGGGCCACACAATCCTCGTGTCCCAATAAACACTCACTAGTTGAGTTTTCTTGCTCTTTTCCTTTGAATTTTTACACTATTTTTGTAAGCATTAAAGTACAGTAAGTCACCTTACAACTCTGGGTTTCTTTCTCTAGATACTGTATAGAACGTGTGTTCAGACCACGCAAGTTAGATCGATGTCATCCCAAAGAACTTCTGGAGTGTGCTTTTGATATTGTCACTTCTACTAGCAACAGCTTTCTGCCCATTGCTGAAATAATCTACACCATACATGAGATCATCCAAGAGTTTCCAGTGCTTCAGGTTTCTTTCCATATTTTAAAATACAGTGATCTCCCATTCTATAGATTTATTTTTTCCAGTAAATGAGTTATTGTTGAATCAAATCTGTAGTTCCTTAAGTTTATAGTAAATGCCAAGGATTGGTAAACAACATTCCACTGAAAGTGATTTGATGATGTGACTTTTGATTTTAACTTGAAATTCTATTAACTTGAAGCTCTATTAACCTTGGTCAAAAGTATTATTGCAGGGAGGATAGGGAGGGAGCAGAAGGATTCTTTTCCTGTGTTTTTCTAAAAGGCAAAATGTAGGCTAGCAGCACTATGCCTTGTACACATAGACACTAATACAAATACAAAAATGAAATAATATATAATCCCTCTCCTCAAGGCACTTGACTAATAGAAAGTTGATGGAACATTTACACTAAAAACTTTGTTACATGGTATAATGTGAATATAAGAGGACTGCAGAGTACTGGAAGGTCAAGTAAAGGAACAATTAAATACTAAATTAAGTACTAAATTAGTGAAGTGTTGGATAGGGAGTCTTCATGGTGAAAGTGGAGGCAGTGTGGTATAGCAGAAAGAGCACTGAGCTTCATGTCAGGAAGATGTACATTTGAATCTTTCATCTTCAACATTTGAGTCACAACCTCTCTGAGCCTTAATTTCCTCATCTGTAAAATGAGGATGACAATACATATAGTAACTACCTTACAGGGTTGTTGTGAGGATATTTTTTTATAACCTTACAGCAAAGAGGCAGTCTTGGTGTTGTCCTGTGGTGTTAAACTCAAATAAAAACCCTGTGGACAGCATATTGACTTAGAAAACCATATGTTAACAGTTATCCATGTTGTATTGTATTTTTATTTTATTAAGTATTTCAAGGCACTTTGGTTTGGCTGGGAGTTTGACATCTCTAGTGAAATAGATAAAGAGCTGCCCTTAGATGTCAGGAAGACATGGTTTTTAGATCTACATATTACACACACTAGCTGTGTGACTCTGGGCAAATCACTTCACCTCTCAGTTCCCCAGGCAAATTGTTAAGACCTCAAATTGTGAACTAGGTGTGAATCTCCACTGGTAGAGTTTCCTCACTGGAATTCTCTATGCATATTAAATCACAGGCTCGCCCCAAAAAATAACCTTAAAATTCTATATAAATTTAAGCTCTTATTATTATTATTAAATATGAAGAAGAGGTTCCAGCAAACCATATGAGAAATTTGAAAAGGAAGGGGCAGCTAGGTGGCACAGCGGATAGAGCACTGGCCCTGAAGTCAGGAGGACTTGAGTTCAAATCCAACTTCAGACCAAACACTTGACACTTAACTAGCTGTGTGACCCTGGGCAAGTCACTTAACCCTAATTGCCTAAAAATTAAAAGAAAAAAAAGAAATTTGAAGAGGAGAGATCACTTTCAGCTGGAAAAGGGATATATGGATAGACAAAATTAGGGAAAATTTCATGGAGTACTTGGAATCTGAATTGGGCCTTGAAGGGAGGAACTTCAGGCAGAGGGGATGGGATTAAAGGGATGGAGTTCATTTTAGGTAGGGAAAACAGAGTAAGAAAAGGCATGGAAAAAAGAGAAGGCAGAACTGGAACAAAGTACAGTGAATAATCTAGTTTGATTAGCATGTAGACTATGTAAAGAGGAGCAGTATGTGATAAGGCTGGAAAGGTGGACCCAGATTGTGGAGGGCCTAGAATGCCAGGATCAGGAGTTACTACATTATTTGTTAAGCAGTGGGAAACTATGGAAGGTTGAGGATAAGAGTGAGATAATAGAGATAAAAGAATAGTTTATAGTCCCCACTCTTATAGCTTGTACTTTACATTTAAACATTTAATGCAAGACACCTAATATACTGCCTGAGTTTTTTGTCACTTCATTATTAATTTTGTTTTCAACTAGATTGTATACTCCTTGAAGGTAGGGACCCTGGCTTCTGTTTTTCCTTTTTATTTCCCACAGCACCTAGTATAGTGCTGAGTAAATAGATATTTAACTTAATGTACACATGTTCTTGACAGATTTGAAGGATAATTTCTACAGAACTAAGTTGCATGTACTCTTACAGGTAGATATTATTTAGTATCCTAGTGACCTTTAAAAAAAGCTATATTCTCCCACACTTTAATCTGAGGCAAAAGTATGATAAGTACAAATATAACCAATAATTTCTAGTTTTTACCCCATGATATTCCGTTGAACTAAAATTATACTTTAAAACATGAGAGGCTCATCATGTGTAAAATGCCCTGTTGGTACTGCAAACAATCATATCTGAAGTCCTCCACTGGACAGGCCAACTAAAAACTGCTAAGAATTTAGATGACAACTTTCTTCATCTTTTCTGCCCTCCAGTTTCTAAGTAATTGGCTCTCAACCAAATTAGAATTCCAACACCTTGTAGACTTAAAGCGTTTGGTAAGTTTAAGTGTTCTAATGAAAAGCTAAGTGACTGAAGATCTCAAAAAAAGTTTTGTAAATAGAGTGAAACCTCTTTTTTCTATACCTAAATGCCAATAAATATTTTTTCCTTCATATTAGGAAAGAAATTACAATATTTATTTGAACCACACTGCCATACTGAAAGCAATACTCTTATATTGTGGGATTCCAGAAGATAAGCTCAGTCAAGTTTATATAATTCTGTATGATGCTGTGGTAAGTGGACAGTGACTTTACATATAAGTACTTCTTGTCAGTGTTCATGAAGAAAAATAATGTATGACTATCTTTTTATTGCTACCAATTTAAAACTATTACATCTAACTGTAGTATTCAAAGTGATAAGGGGAATCCTCCACCTAGATTATCCCAAAATGCAAATAATTAATAGAATCTATGGATTATATGCCAGTCCATAGAGTTTGTAGATATTTGCAAATCTAAGGATCAACATAGGTTGTTACACTAGCAGAGAAAATACTACAGTCATGATACTATTCTCACCTAGAATGTTATCATCTTAGTAGGTGAAACTGTTCTACAAATTGCTTTGAATAGTTCATAAACATCCTATTGGATCAAGGAATTACTGTGGTCAGTGGAACATTCATAATAACATGAAAAAAACATGAAATTGGTTATTTTAAGTTTCTTTGCAGTATGGAAATAGCTCAAAAATACTTTGTATTAAATCAGGACAAATAAGTGACCTGGAATTGAAGCCTGCTCATAGGTCAGATTTACTGAATACCGACTTCCCTGAATACCAGACTGCCATGCTGTTCCTGGCTTCATCCCTCCTGGGCAAGTCATCTAATCTGTATGAACCTTAGCTTCTTCATTTTTAAAATAAGAACAATAATATACACAGTAACTACCTTACAGGGCTGTAGGGGATCAAAAGAGATCATATATAAAGCACTTTATAAATGTCAGCTATTATAATGTATAAATGTAGTGGTGAGTATGTCATTCAGCACCAATTAGTGCTTCATTTTTATTACAAATGAAACTGGCCAGCTGAGCAACACAGCTTTCTTTCTTTCTCACTTTTTCTCTGTCTGTGTCTCTCTTTCCTTTACCTTCCCTCCCCTCTGTCCACATAGGGTATCAAACCTTTATCTTTAAGTGCTCTGCCCAAAGGAATATAAATTTTGATCACTGAAACCTTGAAAGATATCTTGGGGTTTATGGGCTAGATATTTTTCTCAAGGACCATACCTTAAACCCAAATCACTCTGGCTCTCACTGATTGGCCAAACAATAGGTCCCAGGACTTTGGGCCACGATTGGCTCAGAGTGAATGTAAATAGCAATTTTTTTTTGTTGTTTTAGCTAGAAACCCAGAGGGTCTTCCTCTCTCAGATTGATTTTTTTTTTTGACTAGATAAAAGAGGCCATTCTTTGTCTCATTTCTTACCTAACCTTAATCACTGAATGGATGTTGCCTCAATCAAACTGAGACCTGGGAAAGACCTTAGCTTAAAAAGACCAAGGTCTCTCACTGAATCTAGGGCCTTCTCCAGTTGTCCTGATCTATATCTTACCATTGAACCCAGATGGCCCTAGAGGAGAAAGTGAGGCTGGTGACTTTGCACAGCCCTCCCCCACTTAAATCCAATTCACTTGCAAGTCATAGCATCACCTCTCTGATGTCATGGTCCTCCTTGAGAATGAAAGCCAAACAACAATATTACAAATGAAAGTAATCTTCACTAAAGAAATTATATGCTTCTTTTGCAATATGACTACTCTTTTTTGGAAACCTTAATCTATGATCAAATTTGAACAGACATATTTTAACAAACATATTGATCTGTTTTAATTTGTCTACATCAGGGTTTTCAGATTTTACAATAACTTTAGTGAACATTTGTATGTAAAATTATACTTGGATTAATATTATAAGCATGGAATCAGCCGCCTCCTTTCAGGATTGGGAACAATTTTGCTGCCATAAAAAATAAAGATTAACCTGGAAACTATATGTCATTGAGAGTCAGCTACGAGGAAACTGAAATTTGTTCATCTTAATATTGTTTTCTTTTGCATAGACTGAAAAACTGACTAGGAGAGAAGTGGAAGCTAAATTTTGCAATCTTTCTTTGTCTTCTAACAGTGTAAGTACCTTCTAACAGTATATAGCACATTATTACAGCTTACTCTATAATCTATCATGCCATAAAATGTCACCATATTCTTTTCTAGCAAGGTAAGAGCACTTTATACTACCTTTCAAACTCAGTTTTGTTTTTTTTTCCCCCATGAATGTTAACGGGTACCATGGCAACTCACTGTATTAAGGGAGGGGGTGGAACTAACACTGTGATCCCAAAGAATGTCTCTCCATGGTTCTTTTTAATGTACTATAATCATCGTGTTCTTTCCTGGTCACTAGTCACGTTCTTTTTCAGCCCCTTTTTGTTAGACAATGCTTTGGTACAACCCCCCTGGCTATGCCAAGATAGAGTACTAGTCACAGTCTCCTGAAATAAACTGTATGGTACTAGACTAGTGGGCAGGTCTAAGAAAATTCACTTGCATTTTCCTAAGTTCTTTTCAGCTCCTTTTCAGAACTAGAAGGCAGCTTTTTCTTTTCTGGCACATTGTTTGTTCCCTATCTTAATTCTGAGCTACCTTGGAGATTAGGGAATAATTCTTGGGCTATAGGGCTTTGTCTCTAATTGTCTCACTACTTCAACAAATTGAACTGTGACATAATAATGCACCCTCCTACAGTTCAATGAACAGCAGAGGACAAAGCGAAGAGTCGTGACGTGATTCTGACTTCAGAGAAATAAGAACTCTTTCTGAGCCTTAGCACCCTCCCAACTCTTGTTCGAGTTGGATGATTGTGGGGTGAGCATCAAAAGTCCAGGTGTAGGATGCTTCAGAATCTTCCTGGAAACAACACAGGACAAAGATTCAATATAAGTATCATGGCACTCAGCTTCTCAACTCCTGTTGACATTCAGTTAAGCCCTTTGGCTAATCTCCTTAAAAGTTTTGGAGGGTATATATAGCACTCTATTCTATAGCTTCCATACTCCATATATTCCATAGCTTTATTCCATTAATCAAAATTTTAAAGAGTTTGTTTAAGCACACAAATTAGAGTGTCAAAAAAATTCTCCCAGACAGTTGTAAAGACAAACTAAATCATTTGTCTAGCAATAGGAGTTCAGCATAAAAGCTATTCCAGTTTTGGAAGTGATATTACCACTGTATAGTGTAACCAATAGTACCATTCCCAAAGAAAAAGGATTAGATATACACATTCATCTATGGGCAGAAACCAGTCCATTTACAAATAGTAGAAAGCCTACTCAAATGCAAGGTTAAAATGTGAGCTCATAGCCTGTCATAGGACTTTAGAGCTAGATGGGCTCTTAAAGGTTGGCTCATTTAACCCTTCGTTTTACAAAGGAAGAAACTGGAATCATTTGGCAAAGGTTACATGGCTAAACAGCTTTAGGATTAGAACCAGAGCTTCTGAATCCTAGCCCAATGCTGGGTTTAAGATAGTGAATGGAGTCTTTTGGGGGATGGGGCTATGTGTTGAATTGAAAAATATGTTTAAGTCAATAAAAGATTTTTGTTATTAATCATTTTATTTTTAACACAAGTACCTAAACAAATGTTGGAACTGGATTAGGACTTCTAAAAACCTTTTCTTTATGCAATACTTTTTTAAAAAGCTTTAAATCAGGCTTTATTCTACACTATAGCAAGTGTCATTTTCCAGTTTGAATATGAACCAGTTTCTGTATAAAAATGTCAAAATGATTGCACAGATACATTGTGCAAAATATTGAGCTAAACCAATTGTAATTCCATTTTCTTACTATATGATATGATGGCCAGTTACTCAGATAAGAAGAAAACAGTAATCTTTACATGAAAATGAAGTATTTTGTACTGTCTTTTTTGTTTTGTCAGTCTATTCTTCATTCTTGCCAAAGGACTGAAATCCTAAAAGAGGAAAACCAGTGCATGGGAATGATCAAAAGTTTGCAGCCCAAAAACAAGGCATCTATCATAGAGGATTCTTAGAGACTATCCTAGATCAGCCTTATAGTTAACTCAGAAATTACCCATTTCTCTAACCCACTGGCCTAAAGCAGTAGAGTGTAAAGAAGAGAATGGGGGAGTGGGGGAAGATGGGAAAAGGGGTAAGACAAAACATAGTTTCATTATGAAAGTGCTAATCCTCCCTTGTTGGTCTGAATTGACTATATAGACCAGATGGGAAAGGCACCTATGATTTGATCCTCTCTGTAGTGCTTTGTAACTCTCAGTAAAGGAGCATCCTGAATAGACACTACGTCTAAGACTGTGTCTGTGACTTTTCACAAAATTCCTTCCCACCTAAGGTGTAAAAATAGAGCCTAAATGTCTCATTGTGCACACAGGATTCTATACTTAATGGCTCTTCCAATACTGTTGATTGAAAGCTCACTTGAAGCTATTTGCTTTTCAGCTGTGTCGACTCTACAAATTTGTTGAGCAGAAGGGAGATTTACAAGACCTAGCTACAACAATAAACTCAATTATAAAACAAAAAACAGGTGTTGCCCAGCTGGTGAAACATGGCATGAAAGATCTGGAGGAGGTTGTTGGACTTCTGAAGAAGCTTGGCATAAAGGTTTGGAAACTGTTTGCCTTTCTGATTTGTAATAGTAATAATAGCCCCAAGACAGTGACTTTATTTGATTTACTTCTGGCAAGTCATTGTTTTCCCTAGAATTCTTCTGACCTAGTTTTTGTGTTCTGATATATAGCAGTACCTTTGGTTTAAAATAAGATTTTATATGAGGGAGCTGGGGGCCATTATAGATGAAGCCCTGGAAAAATAAAAATTCAAAATCTAGGTTCAAATTCAGACACTTAGTAGCCAGGCCACCCTGAGCAAGCCACTTAATTTCTCTCAACTTTTGTTTCCTCATCTGTAAAATGAGGAGAATAGCTGAAGCAATTATCTAGTAGGGCTGTTGTGAGACTCATATGGGGTGAGGTGTATAAAAGTGCTTTGCAAACTTTAAAGCATTATATCAATGTTGGTTGTTAATTCAAACACTGTGCAAGACCAGTTGGGGACCTTAGGATTATTGTTCTGACTTAGTATTACAGTGATCTTAACATAATAGGGCCAAACAGGCATGATATCAAAACTTGCTGCCTATTGTAGGTACATAGATTGAGCACTGTGTTCTACATTTTTGGGCTCTCTGGCTGACACATTTGTGATTTATGGCTTTGCAGGTCTCAGTCAATTTGGGCCTTGTTTATAAAGTACAGCAACACAATGGAGTAATCTTCCAATTTGTTGCATTCATCAAACGAAGGCAAAAAATTGTGCCTGAAATCCTTGCAGCTGGTGGCAGGTATGACCATTTGGTAAGTAGTCACCCTTAAATATTACTTTTTCTTGAACTTCTGATGTCCTGTTTGTATGTGATATCTTACAAGGCATAGACACTCAGTTTAATATCTGTTGAATAGTTAGTTGCATCTCATCCACAGGACTATGCTGTTGTTTTTGTTTTTCTTTTTTAGATCCCCCAATTTAGAGGACCTCAAGCTCTGGGACCAGTTCCTTCTGCTATTGGAGTCAGCATAGCTATAGATAAAATATCTGCAGCTGTTACCAATATGGAAGAACCAGTAAGTTTGGGCATTTGCCTTTGCCTTCCTATAGAGCTGGCTTCATTTCAAAAAGCATTATTTTTCTTTTTTACAGTAATTCACAAGGAACTATAGATAAAGCAACAGTAGCCTGAAGACTTAGGATCTGATCTTAATGCCAGACCTCACAATAGCTATTGACATCTTCATAGCACAACCTCTTCTAACTCAGTAACACTGGTACACAAATGCAGATGTGAGCTACAGAGCTTTAAATTGTTCTTTTGCTTGAAACACAAGAAAAAATATAGGCTTCCCAAAAGGAAAGAACATCCTTTTGATATTAGAGTGTCAGTTTCCAACAACCTGAACAGACTAAAATTTGAGTATGTCATTTTGTTTTTTTTTTCTTTTTTTTTGAATGAGTATGTCATTTTGAAAGAAAGAATTCTGCAAATCGTCTTGCATTTGTAGTCCCAAATGTGGGACACCAGTTAAGGAATTAGAATTCAAATCAATGTGACCTACTCCCCTGCAGCTTAGTTCCCATAGGCCTAGCCTAAGATCCAGATTCCCCAAAGCATAAAACCTCTCTATTTCTGATCTAGGTTACAATAAGCTCTTGTGACTTACTAGTTGTAAGTGTTGGTCAGATGTCCATGTCAAGGGCCATCAATATTATCCAGAAACTCTGGACAGCAGGAATTGCAGCAGAAATCATGTACGACTGGTCTCAGGTAAAGTAAAAAAGACATTTCATGTCAAAGGTTCAGAAAAATAATTTCCTTAATGACAAATCTTATTGTTCTCTTATAGAGCTGTCAGATATTTCTCTCTAGCTATGTCCATTTCCTAAAAATTCTGTCATTAGAGAGCTTGAGATTTTTGACCTTGAGTTTCTCATTTCATACAAATGTTGACAACTCTACTCCACTTTTACTCTCTAAAAGGGAGACCTTCAGATAATTAACTGGCCCTCTTCAGTACTACTTGCAGATTGCTGAAGTGGCTGCTAATCCCCATTTATTTTTGTTTTTACATCACATTCATTTCTGAATATTCTCTCTCCCCCCCTTCTCACTTCTTTACTCAGCATACCTTCCTTTATAACAAAGATTTTAAAAGAAAAAACATGTTCAGCAACACCAGTCATTACATCAACTGTGTATAATAGCATATGCCACATTTAACACCCCTATCACCCAGTCTCTCCAATGAAAAGAGGAAGATGCATTTTCTAATTTGTCTCTAGAGGCTACACTGTCATAATTTGTTGTTGCTGTTCAGTCATTTCAGTTCTGTCCGACTCTTTATGACCCTATTTGGGGTTTTCTTGGCAAAGATATTTGAGTGGTTTGCCATTCCTTCTCCAGCTCATTTTACAGATGAGAAAACTGAGATAAACAGGGCCAAGTGACTTCCCAGGATCACACAGCTAGTAAGTGTCTGAGGCCAGATTTGAACTCAGGAACGTTGATCTTCCTGACTCCAGGCCTGGTACTCTATCCACTGCGCCACCTAGCTGCCCCTATCATAATTACATAGCACCATTTACATTCCAGAGTTACTGTGTATATTGTTTTTCTGGTTCTTGTCTCTTTGGTAAAACTTATGGGCCAACAATATACCACACTCATGTACCACTAGTTAAAATGTATATGTATGTATGCGTGAATGTATGTATCTCCATTGGCCAAGGGTGTCCCCACTTTGTTTCCAGTTCTTTGCTACAACAAAAAGTGCTATGGATATTTTGGCCTATCTGAGACCTTTCTTTCTTTGATCTCTCTGAGGTCCATGACTAGTCTCTTTTTAAGTATACTTCCAAATTACTATCCAGAATAATTGAACCAATTCACATTTCCTACAGCCACTTCAATTCTATCTTTTTTCATTTTTGCCAATTTGCCTAGGGGTAAAGTAAAAGTTCGGAATTGTTTTGATTTGCACTTCTTTTATTATTAGTGACTTGAAGCAGTCTTTCATATAATTGTCAATAGTTTGAAGTTCTTTCAGAAGTATTCATATTCTTTGACCACTTATCTATTGAGAAATAGTTTTTGGTCTTACATATTTGTAAAATCTCTATATATTAAATATCAGAACCTTATCAAAGATATTTGATGCAGAAGTTTGATTTTTTTTCCCAATCAAGTTGTTCATGCTTTTCAATTTCATGTAATTTAAATTATATTGTAGTTTTTTTTTTATGATTTCTTCTATTCTTGTTTGGTTAAAAATTCTCCCCATAGCCATAATTGTAAGTGATAACTCTACCAATTTTCCTCTATTTTTTTTAGATGTATTCTTTTATATTTAACTTGAATATCCATTTGGAATGTATTATAGTACGTGGTCTAAGATGCTAGTTTAAACCTAGGGGGGGTGGGTAGGGGTCACAAATGTTTTCCAGCTTTCTCACCAATTCTTCTTTAGCTTTTGGTGCTGTTTTTATTTTTATATTATTATATTTTATATTTTTATATTATTGTCACATTTGCCTTTACTTTTCTCACGTGCTTTTTCGCTTGATATGGAAAAAATATGATTTCAGTAACTTATATTAATGTTGGCAGGTTATGGAAACCTCACCATGATTCCTAGTGATAGTTCCTGTTTACATCCACTTAAAATATCAGTAAAAATAAAAACTACCCAGTTTCTAAAAACAGAGGATACCCTTAGACCCAGCAATACTACTACTTGGTATATACTCCCAAGAGGTTAAAAACAGAGGGAAAATACTCACATATAAAAATATTTATAGCTGCACCTTTTATTGTAGGAAAGAAGTGGAAACAATGTGGTTGCCCATCAGTTGCCCATCTCATTAGGAGAATGAATCCACAAATTATGTTATTTGAATATAATAAAATGAAAGGGATGGATTCAGAAACTGATAGAGAGTGAAGTTGGAGAACTGTTTTTATAAAATGACTACAGTAATGTAAAGGAAATCAACTTTAAAGTTCTTAATAATTGACCAGTGTAGCAACTGGTCTTGACTTCTGAAGCATTCTTCCCACTTCTTAGCCGAAAGGACCACCATAGGTACAGAATGAGGCAGATATTTTTCAAAAATGACCCAAGTGTGAATTTGTTTTGCCTGACTATACTTAATTGTTACAAGGCAGGGGTTTTATTTTGGGAAGAGGAGAGTTGAAGGAAAGTGAAGGTTAGTGATAGTAATGCAAAAGAAAAGGAAAAAAGTGTCAGTGAAACATTTTAAATATAAGAGGAAAGCAGAAGTTCAAAAGGGTTCCCAGACAAGTAGGGCAGTGTTGGTGCTTCCATGTTAAATTTAATGTAACTTTTTTAAAAACAAGCTATTAGTAATAGAGATTTACAGTTTTTTTTTATTTTTAAGAAAATAAAGAAAGCAAAAGAGTTGCCCTCCTAATCAGTGATCCTCTCCTTGGTGAATATTTTACACTCTGAGGGGCAACTAGTAATTCATTTCAGAATAAAAGAAATTAGCATGTCCATTGTTTCCTGCTTAATTGGTCAAAGACTTCAGGTGTTTGTTTTATATTCCCTTTTACTATTTATTGTTTCAGTCTCAAGAGGAATTGCAGGAGTACTGCAGACATCATGAAATCACTTACGTGGCTCTTGTTTCTGACAAGGAGGGAAACCATGTAAAGGTAAAGATTCTAGGAAATTATGTGGAGTTGTGATCAGATTTTTTAATCTATGCACGACGGTGGAACACTTTTTGGCACTTTACTTGATACAGTTTGTAATCCATTACATTCCACCTGTCCCCTTGAAATAGTGTACTTGCCAGAGAAAATGCATCAAAAAAGAATTAATCTAGATCTGAATCCTTTTAGATAATTTTACCTGTAATAATCACTTTTTTTGGTCATTCCTTTTATCATTTCATTCTTTTCCAAGAAAAGATCTAGTAAGTGCTACTGACCTGGTTGGCTACTCCAACATTTTTTGGTTATTTGACATTTTTGGAAAATTGGATTTACCTAAAAATGCTTTAATATCTATTGTGTTTCATCACCTATTGCTTTATTTCTGACTATTTTTAAAGGACTAAAAAATAAACATTCATTCAGCATCTATTTGGAATAGTTAGCATTTTTAATCTGATACAACAGGACTATGGAATATAATATACAACATTGGTTCTGATTAATTAACAGCTATTTATTAAGTCCCTACTATATGCCAGGCACTCTGCTAGGCAATGGGATATAAAGACAAAAATTAAACAGTCCTTGCCCTCAAGGAGCTTAAATTCTATCAGGGAGACACATATAAATAAGTATATACAAGGCAAATTGTGGGAGGGAAGAAGGAATTTGCAGCTGGAAGAGATCAGGAAAACCTTCATGTATAAAGTGGGGCTTGAGTAATGTTTTGAAGAAAATAAGGGATTCTAAGAGGCAGAGGTAAGGAGGAAGGACAGTCCAGGTAAGGGAGCTAGCCAGTGCAAAGGCTAACACCTTATTTCCTCTGCTTTCTCTAGTCTGAGTCTTCTGGAAGCACAAACAAGCTTTTAAAGCAAATCTTGGAACTATAATATGGATAATTTCCTGTATCACAGAAACTTCAAAACTAGAGTATACACACGTTACAGATGCTTCAGTATGTCCACACAGAATTACAATGTAGCTACATTTACATATCATGCAGACTTAACATTTATTGAGTACTCACATGGAAGGAACATTATCTTCTAGCAGGGAATGACCTGAAGAAATCATCTGATTCAGCATTCTAGTGTTGGTTGTTACTTAGTATTTCTACAACTCATATTGATTCTGCTTTTTGGCTTCAGAAATCTGCAACTTATCTAGTTGTTCCATTTCTTCTTATAAGGTCAAATCCTTTGAGAAGGAAAGGCAGACAGAGAAACGAGTGCTGGAATCTGACCTCGTGGATCACATGGCACAGAAACTGAGGACCAAAGTCTGTGATGAAAAGAATATCAGGTAATATAATAAATAGAAGCCAGTAAATGCAAATGCTTCCTTAAGTGTAACACCCAGATTCATTTTTAAATTAGGTCACTGGTGAACCTTCTTTCAGAGTGATGCTTAATCAAAATGGATTTTGATGGATATATTCTATTCCCTTTGGAAAGTTCTGAAAGTAATTTGATGAGACAATTTCTAGTATTTCGGGACATGCCTTCCTCTTGATCTTTAAGTCACATATATTAGCACCCCAAAGTCTACTTTGTCATTCTTAAGGTATCCTTAAAACCAGGAGTCTGCCTGTCAATATTGTTCTGCAATCTGATCTGTTTGTGAACTGTTTTATTAAATGATTTAAAGTTTTCTTTCCACCCCATTCTGCCCATTTCTACCATAGTAGCTTCTCCCGTTTATTCCTTCCTTTTTTAAATCTGGTTCTTCTTCAAAGAAATCGTTTCCATCATGCATTTGGCACTAGATTTTTGCAATGACAGTGTCATGTTACTAAAGTAACTTGGTAACAGACAACTAAAAGCCAAGGGACTGGGAATAAACAAGAAATAGTCAACTACATAACAAGGTTGGTAAGAGACTATTAAAAGGATGCCCGATAAGATTTAGTTGTAGCAGAGGGTTTAAAATCTATAATATAAATGGCTTGCTTTATTAATCAATAGAAGATGAATACTTCCCTTTATTCCTAAGATATAAGGCTATTGTGCATTTCAAAGGCTATAAGCTTAATTCATTTGCTTTTGGAAGAACATCCATTCACACCTATGAGAAGACTAACTTTATTTACCAGACTGTTCTCCCATAGGCATCTTCCAAGGTACAGGATGGGGTATGCTGTGACTAGTATTTCCTAGTATTGTGAAAGGAGCAGAAAGAATTTCTATTATAGTTAATTGAAATTAGCATCTTATGCCAAGCCAGGATTTTTAAATCCAGCTAAACAAATTGGAGTATTTTCTCTTAAGTATTTGTTCATTTGAAATGACATCCTGTCATTTTTTTTACTTACTCTTGACCAAAAATTTATGCAAGTTTATACCTTAATGGTCAAGGGAAAAGCATTTCTGTAGTCTGTAGTAGAAAAATTGACTGTAACTTACATTGATATAGATTGCTTTTGCCTTCTTGACTACTTTTCTAATTGTTGTTGTTTGCTTGTTTTTAGAGAAGCTTCCGATAATCTTGCAGGGCAAAATCTGAAGGGGTCATTTTCTAATGCTTCAGGTATTACTACTAATTACAGAATGAACAAAATAATTGTAGTGTCTGACTTGATAGATACTGTTATGTTTGCTTTGCAGTGCTTTATATATGATTTTGGCTAACTCCTAATAATCCCCCCCCCAAAAAAAATTATGGTAGTGTTAACTTCTCCAAAAAATTGTTCCATATAATGGAGTTTACTTGGCTAGTTTTACTGTTCTTTGAAACCTCTAGCCTAGAAAGAGTATTCTTTAGTATACAGACCATTAGACTGAATGTCATATACCTGGCTGCTAACCCTAACTATTCCATCAACTTATGTACTTTAGGCAGAGTTTAAGCTCTCTGTGCCTCAGTTTAACCCACAGAAAACATATAGACGATTCTCTCCTAAATCCTCCCCACCTCCCAGATGAGTAAGAATTAAATCTATGATTTCTTGAATGAAGGTAATATATAAATGTAGTTTTCTGTAAAATCAAAAGGCAATATTTGAGTTAAATATCAATTATCCCCATTTAGGTCAAAGAGAAGCTATTTGGGCTTCTAAGCTTCTACAGGACTATATACCAGTTAGGTCAAATTTTGTCAGCATTGACTCTGTACCAGGATCAGTGAAAATCTCATGCCTAGTTGAAATCTGAGAGGTTACTAGGTTATAGAAGATTTCATGTTGATACTGTCTTTAAGTTTGTTAACTATAAACAAATACAGCTTTTGGTCAGCTTTCAATTTATTTGTATTTCACCTTCTTGCCTTCAATATGGTGCATTTTGTAGAAGTGAATAAAGCTATTTTGAAATTCTCTTTGGTTTAGGTTTATTTGAAATACATGGAGCGACAGTTGTTCCTAATGTGAGTGTTATAGCCCCAGAGAAGCTATCAGCCAGCACCAGGCGGCGGTATGAAACTCAGGTATGCACTGAGGCTTTTTTAGCTTTCCAATCTTTATCTTTGGGACAATGTAAGTAATGAGAGGAAATAAATGCAGAAACTTTGCTAGAAGCATAACACCTTTTTTTCCTACCTCCAAAGCTTAGGATGCTTCTGAAACTTAGCAAATTAAGGAAAAACTTACCTGTGTAACCATAGGTAAATCACTTACCCTCTCTGCTCTTCAGCGTCCTCATCTGTAAATAGGGATAATAATATCTGCAATACTTACCAGACAGGGTTGTTATAGGGAAAGAGCTTGGTGAATATTTAAATCACTATGTTAGTGACCTGTCTACAGTAAGTAAACAGGCAAAGGCAGCAATTCCTTATGCATTCTTAGCCCCTATTTAAAGGATCTAAACACAAATGTTCTAACCTTGCTCAATGAAAAGTGGACTTTAAAATGGGCCTTGAAAGATTTGAATAGGTAAGGAGAGCTTTTCAGATCAAAGGCATTTGTAAGAAGCAGGAATGAGTATGGACATTAGATTAATTGGGGACAGAAGGGCATAGTGGAATTAAATTTGAATGGCTCAGATTTATATAGCACTTAACAGGTTTACAAAATTCTTTCCTCACAACCCTGTGAAGTAGATCTCCATTTTACAGAGAAGGAAACCAAAAGTTCTAACGATTTGTCAGAGCTATTGAGTTTGGAGCTGGAATTTGAATCCAGCCCTCTCCTGACTCCCAAATATAGTGCTTTTTCCACTATTATATTCTGATATATGAATTGACAGAGTTCAGATATGGCAATTTCTGTAAGCATTTCTAACTGTTTGCTTAGATTATTAAATACTAACCAGTTTATCAGGTATTCTCTGCTACATCTATCTCTAATACTCCCTTGCTGACTGCTGTTGCATTCTTCCTATTATTACAGTTAGCTTAGTACTAAAATCATTTAGAGCACAATTCTACTGGAACCCAGTATTCATGTTCTATCTCCTCAGTTAACCACTGATCTGGGTGTCATGAGCTGCCATCACCATTGATCCTGGTTTAAGAACTAAGTAGCAAGAAAAGAAGGTTGCTAAACAGGTGACCAAGAGACCTTGTGACCCTGATCTCAATTCCAAGACAGAGGGGAGCACTAGCAATTGTGCCTGCAGGAGAGTGGGGGACATGATCACAGGGCCAGGAGGAGTGCTAGCATAGGTGGCTATAGGGGAACAAGATCCTGGGTAAAGATCAGAGCACAGGTGAGGAGAGCAGTGATCACACCTCTCCTTAGATCATACCACCTTGAAAGCACCAAAATATACAGACCACAGAGCTAGCTCTGAAGCAACAAGAAAGGCCTGAAGCTTGGGGCAGTACCCCCTCTACCCTAGGAGGACAGCCCAACTTTTTAAAGTTAAAAGTAAAAAAATTGGCTAGAATAATGGGCAAACAACAAAAATGAAACTAACCCTAACAAGTTACTGTGGTGACAAGGAAAACCAGGACACAAACCCAGAAGAAGACAACCATGTCAAAGCACCTAAATGCAAAGCCTCAAAGAAAAATATGAATAAGTCATAGGCCCAAAAAGAATTCCTGGAAGGGCTCAAAAAGGATTTTAAAAATCAAGTAAGAAAGGCACAAGAAAAAATAGGAAAAGAAATGAGAGTGATGCAAGAAAATTGTGAAAAGAAGAGTCAACAGCTTGGTAAAATAGTCACAGAAAAACACTGAAGATAACACCTTAAAAAACAAAATTGAGGCAGCTAGATGGTATAGTGGATAGAGCTCTGGCCTTAGAGTCAGGAGGACCCAAGTTCAAATCTGGCCTCAGACACTTGATGCTTACCTAGCAGCATGACCCTGGGCAAATCACTTAACCCCGATTGCCTCATGAAAAAATAAAATAAAATAAATGGCCAAATGGAAAAAGTTCCAAAAGCTCTCTGAGGAAAACAATTCCTTAAAAATTAAAATTGGGAAAGTGGAAGTTAGTGACTCCATGGAGACATGAAGAAACAATAAAACGAAATCAAAAGAATGAAAAAATAGAAGAAAATGTGAAATGTTTCATTGGAAAAACTGACCTGGAAAATAGTTTGAGAGATAATTTAAGGATTATTGGACTACCTGAAAGCTATGATCACAAAAAGAGCCTAGACATCATATTTCTTTTTTTTAAGAGGGTATTTTATTTTTCCCAATTATATGTAAAGACAATCTTTGACATTCATTTTTTTAAAAAGTTTGAGTTCCTAGGTATAGCCCAACATCTCACACCATACACCAAGATAAGGTCAAAATGGGTACACGATTTATACATAAAGCATGATACCATAAGCAAATTAAGAGAGCATGGAATGGTTTATCTCCCAGATTTATGAATAAGGGAAGAATTTAGGACCAAAGAAGATATAGAGAGCATTAGAAAATGTAATTTTATATAATCAAAATTATCTATTTTAAAAAGTTTTTGCACGAACCAAAATTATAAGGAAAGCAGAAAACTGGGGGGGAGGGTGGAACTTTGCAACAAGTATCTCTGATAAAGGCCCCATTTCTCAAATATTTAGAGAATTGAGTCAAATTTATAAAAATACAAGTCATTCCCCAATTGATGCATGGTCAGAGGATATGAACAGGCAGTTTTCAGACAAAGAAATCAAAGCTATCTATAGTCATGTGAAAAAAAGCTCTAAATCACTACTCATCAGAGAAATGCAAATTAAAACAACTCTGAGGTACCACCTCACACCTATCACCTAATGTGACAAAAAAGGAAAATGTCAGCTGTGG